TATAGGTATTTCGTCCGGTTGATATGAATTTTACTAGTAACACAACAATATTGAGTCTTTTGAGAATTTACCAACGTTAATGCATTTTTTACAATTCAAAAAGCTATAACTTACTCTCATATTAATGAGGTAGATAATTAATTTAGAGATATTAAAAAAATTATTTAAAATAGTTATTTGTAACAAAAGTATGATAACTTTCTTAAATCATCATATTTAATTATCTATATTGAAATTATTTATTGGCGGGAACCCTTCACAATCAATAGAAATATTTTTTAAAAAAAATTATAATTTTAAGGGACAAAATAATTCAAAATCTTATGTTTAGCATCAAATTTAACCTCTCAAATGACTTTTATATTAAGCAACGAGAGTAGGTTGTAGCAAGCTTTTGTGCGGGCATGCAATACAATGTCCTTAACATTATTATTATTATTATTTTAACATATTCGATTGAATGTCCTTTCATTCGAGATATACAGTATTTAAAAAGAATTGATTTGTGATCTCGCAGTACACTTCCAAACAAGAAAACTTAAAATGAAAAAAAAGGTTGTGCAATTCGTGATAGATCCATTATTTGTAGAGACATTTAATTCAATTGGAAAACAATATCTATCTACTGATGTTATTAAAAGTTTACGTGTTAAGGGTTTTTAATAGGGAGACTTCGGTTCAAGGTTGATGAGATTTGATGTTGCAAGTGCCATTATTGGTTACATGCCATGACCTTGTTAATTATTTATGTCTCTCTTTTTTTAATTCTTTTAATTCTGGCCAACTAATCACTAAGCACATATATCGTTGAATTTTGTACAAATATTATAACAACAATAATTACGATAACACAAAGTAGTAATAACTCCACATCTTAGTCATGTGCAATGCAATATGTTAATTTATACAAGTCAATATGCGTGTATGGTCCAAATAATTTCTGATGGTATATGCAATTACACACAGCATCGGATGATGTGTTCCATCAAATTTAACTTTTTTTTGTCATCAATATGAGTAATTTCATTAAATTTATTAAATAAATATATAATCTTCCGGTCCTAAATATAAGACCATTTTATAGAGAACTTATATTACAAAATGGGTCTTATATTTAAGATCAGAGAAGTATATTAGAAGTGACCAAGTGAGTAATTAAAAAAAAAAATGTGACTATGTAAATTCAGCAAAAACTTATGCTCTTCAGATCCTAAATAGAAGGTCTATTTTGTAGTGTAATTGGCGTTACCACCATCACCGATCATAATTGCATTTAAGTGAAGTGATATGCCCAACTGATTAATTTAGTTTTTTTCTTTTAATTGATCATATGACTGAACTGGTTGCATGAGATTTAAGCTCTAATTGCAATAAAAATATTGATATGTGGACTCAAAGTCACTATATCGTTATCGCATACCTAAACAGTAATGACCTGGGGTCAGTGGCATCTAAATTCAAAGAATTTGCTAAAGTTGCTGACTTTTAATCAAATCTCATTTTAAATACTAAAAATCTAAACTTTAATTCTTGAAATTGACTTGGCCTTCTTCTCATCGAACTGTTAAAAAGGCAAAGGTAGGCGTTTGCGCACTGAGCATATATTTGTAACGTTCTTTTTGTTTTTAGCACAGACACCATTAGGTTGATATGTACGTTACGTTAATTGAGATTAACCTGCTCCAAATTAAAGCTTGACTTTAGAAACCCAACACAATAATTGACTTCATAAGCTTTCTTAGTCGCTCACAGGTTTCATTTCAAGTTGGGTAAGTTATGCATAATCTGAAGGGCCAAGAAAAGACAGGAAGAGGAAGAAGAGGATCCCATTGCTTCCCAGAAGGTGAAACTTCTCCATATATAATGGCTTGGACGACATGAGTAAATACAGTGAGAAAGCTTAAAATATTAGGGACTGGAGATCTCAATTGCCGTAAGCAATGACTTATAAAAGTCAACTTGATAATGGTGGTAGCAATTAAATGAGGGAATTTGATTAATATTATTATTAAATACCCACTAGCGCGTCCACGCACATTTAGATGATATGCAATTAACCACTTAATTAACGGAAACAAGCAAAGCAAGGGAATTAAAGCCCGCCCAAAACAGAGGAGGGTTGATTATTAAGGCCCCTTGTCTTGCCTCTTCTCATTACTACTAAATATTCTTTCTCCTAAATTTTTAATTTTCAGTTTCGTAAGAGCTTTCTTGTAAAATTCTTATTTCCCTCTGCTCATGAACCTGCATATCATTATTTTGCGCCCAATTTCTTCAATCCACTACAAATTTATTTTATTTTATTATATTTTCTGAGATATTCCCAGACCCCCCAATCTCATCACCATGTGTGTGGCCTTTACATTAATTATATGATTGATATGGTCAACCGCCAATCTAGCTCTATAATACTCCTCCGGTTCTAATTATAAGACCCAATTGACTTATTTGAGGAGATTAAGGAAGTAAGTTAAGTTGGTTATTTATAATAAATAAGTGTTGTCATTCCTAAAACATCATTGCTAATTAAGTATATTAGCTAAAACTATCATTATTAGAAGGATTATCTTGGAAAAAAATGCATAAATATAAGAGATAAAATGAATTGGGGCCTTATAATTAGGACCAAATAAAAAATCAAATGGGGTCTTATAATAACGACCGGAGGAGTACATAATATAATTGACAAACCTTTCTAGATGGGTTCCTGGACGATTTTCTGGGGATAACATTGTTCTCTCTCCCTGTTTTTACAACTATATTTTAAGTTGTAAAGAAACATCAACCCGCTCTGATCGAATTTGATTAATAAGGCGATGGGGAACTCAGTTATTTAATGTGCATTTAGTTTATACGAAGTTTTTTTAAATATAATTAAAAATGCGGGAAGATGTATAATGAGGGTGGCATGTATTAGCAAGTTGACTTATGGGAAGAAAAAATATTTGGCAATCCACATGGGAATGAACAATATGCATATTAATATAGCAGAACTTGATTCGTTCTGACATTTTAAACAAATGCATAATATTATGGATCAAGTGCTTATCTTGACTCTCTTTAATTTAGTCGTTATATAATTGTTTGGGCATTGGGTATTTCATCATTTTGCATGCAGTCTTTTTAAAATAAATAAATCAAACAGGCTGCCCCACTAATCTTTGAGGGGAGAAGTTTCAACAGTAAACTTTTAGAGTGTTATAATGAATAGAAGTTCATATATACTACCTCCGGTTCTAATTATAAGAGCCAATTGACTGATTTGAAGAGATTAATGAAGTAAGTTGAGTTAGTTATTTGTCCTAAGTAAGTGTTGTCTTTTCTAAAATATCCTTGCTAATCAAGTGTATTGACTAAAACTATCATTATTAGAAGGGCTACTCTGAAAAAATGTATAAATATGAGAGATAAATGGATTAGAGTCTTATATTTAGAACCAAAATAAGAGTCAAACAGGGTCTTATATTAAGGACCGGAGGTAATATATATATACTACTTCTGGTCCTTAATATAAGACTGTTTAACTAATTTGATTAGACTAAGAAAGTTAGGTAAGTTAGTTAATTATAAGAAAAGTGACACATTTTTCTAAAACACCATAATCATTTTTCTTAATACTCCCTCTCCCTCTTCTACTTGATTATGGTTGAAGGAGTATCTATAGGGTAATTTAAAGAAAATTGATAAATATGAGAAATGGGTCTTGTATTTAAGACGAAAACTAACTCAACAATTGAGTCTTATATTAAGGACCGAAGAAGTATATATATATATAGAGAGAGAGTTATCTACGTCATTCTTAATATTTGAAAACATATGCGTCGATCCCCTAGTTTAGAGCAGGATCAAGTTGAGACATCGGGATAATGAGTGGTGGTGTTCTGATATCGGAACTAGGACCTGTCTGGGCTACCCAACGGATACGATAAGCCCATTCAACTTGTGAGCTGTGGAAAGAAAGTAGAAACATTAGAATGGTTCCAAAATTTTTATAAATTAAAGTATCAAATTGAAGAAAAATAAAAGTGGAATACAAGAATAAACAAGGACACGGAGTTGAAAGAAAACGATTGATGGATAAACAACTTGGTGTTATCTTTTAATTGCATCTAAAATCATAATCTTATTTATGATTTAGAGTGCTGAAAGCACTAAAAAAATAATATCAAGATACTAGATGCATCATAAATAAAATTAAGATAATAGATGCTACCGTATTTATGGACAAAGTGAAATTAGTAAATTTAAGGAGCCAGATTGAAATTTAAGAAAATGTTAATAAAGATTCGGTGAAGCTTTGTGTATGAAATAAATTCAGTTTGGGAGCGGTTCAGATTTTACTTTGGTCATCTTGAGAGAGATCAATATTGACGGTTAGAAAATGATACGCTGTCGTCTTAAAAAAAAAAAAAAAAAGGACCAGAAGACGAGAGCCAAGCCAAGTGCATACTCGCGCGCTTTAATTCCACACAATTCTTGCTCCGAACTGTTGAAATTAAGGATTATAACGTCACAAATGGCAAGTTTCATCAGATCTCACATGATTCACATTCAATACCCAGTCTCAACGTAGAAACTGGGCATTCCAAGAATTCGGATTCCTCCACGGTGGACTTCAGAATCATCCATATCTCGACATTGTTTAATGAAACGGAATTTGCAAATCACATGCGTGGCTTGGGAAACCCCCGACAAAAATATCTAAAATCGTGACAATATCTCAAATTTTATGGCCTTACTCAAAAGCATCACCAAACACAACGTTTTTTATATTGTGAAAAAAAAAATTAACACCGTAAAAAAAAAAAAAAGGAACAGTAAAGCTCAGGCTTCGGAATTTCTACCCTTTGGTTGTGTCAGTTCTTAGATTCAAAACGCTACCAAACATGTGACATTGATAGGTAATAAAAATGTTATAATAAATAATCGTGAAACGGTAAAACAGTTAAATGACAGACACACATAACTGGGTGAATTTTCATCACACAAAACATACAAGACGTGTCGAAGCAACAATGCAATTTACATACTAGAGATTCCTGCATCTCACATCAGGAACTTAGGCACGTAGGATATAACAACATAAGCACTCCCATAATAAATGTCTTGCGGGGGGTTTCATAACGTGTCGGACAGTCTTGAATCAAAAAGTTACTGAACATAAATGGCATGACAATAGGAAACACACAAACAGTAAATAGGAATAAGTAAGGCAGCTTGATGCAAATCCGATTCATGTCCTTGTTCGCTTTACCGCCTAGTTTGAAGCTTTCAATCAGAAAGACAGTTGGATAGAACGTGATGAGTGAGGCTGCCTAGCTCCTACTCTTGCTTTTTTCCACAGCCCTTGGAGCTGCAAGCGGCTCAAATATAACGAATTCGAATCAAATGTGGTGATTTTGAAAGGGGCGGAAAAAACTGGTGGTGTTCAATGTAGCTCATATCGTGGCAGAAAACAAACTGAAGCATATGGACACAGTTGATTTTTCAATGCAGGATTTAGAAATTATATCCTTTAGTGACAGGTGACCCTTGGACGGCCTTACAAGTCTGCCACACACTGGAGTAACTTTCTTTTTACTTTGATCTATGACGGAAAGGTTTTCTTTCAACTCCTTTTTGAATGTTTAATTATTTAACTGTGCAAATTGGTTACATGCAAGATCCTTTCGACTCTTCTGATATAATTCACTAGCACCTTATTCAGACTCAGATAGGTCCAGCTTAAATCATAGATGGATGTGAACGAAATACTAACCAAGACCAATGGCATCGGAACTTTTCATGATCCTCAGCCTCCTGCATGTATCAATGAACATCCTGCAAATTGTTGAAATATGAGATTCATAATTGATAACAAGTATTACAATAACGCTAATGTGGTGCAACTCTGTTTTGACTTTCTCTTACAAAAGATAATTTGTGGCAAGCAAAAACATCAGCCATCGCACGCTATTAAATTTGCTAATCCTCAAAAGGGGAACCCATTTCCCTCAGATCAACAGGTCATTAGTTACACATTAAATTCTTCAGCCATCAGGCATAACATCCACAGACAACAATGTTATGGAACAATAGCTTGATATAAAAGGCTAGAGCTCGTGAGATTACTTTGCTTTGATCAGCGCATGCATGATATGCATGATACTTTGAATTCATCTCTACTTTAGATGAGCATTATAAGTTGCAAGTATGGCATAATACCAACTTTTCACTCCAAATGTCAGCTTAGAATCACGAGAATCTATAGATGGAACCAGCCTTAAGAACACTAAAATTTCACCACATAATAATATGAAAAGATCGACAATGTTACACCCAACATGCTTTTATTTTACAAACTTCTTATGTCTAAAAAGGTTTGTTCTTTCTATAAAGAAATACCAGCTAAAAGAAAACAAATGCATTGACATGTCGGAACTTACTCCCACGGAACATCACCCACAAGCATCCAGTCCCCCTCTTTGTCCTCATAGGTTAGAACATATTCAGACCCATGAAGCAGATCCTTCAGCTTGCTTTCATTTAAAATCTCCCTGCCTAGAGTTCCATGAGAGCCATATTGACCTGAAAACACAATGAAAATACGCAGTAACTGGATCCATGCAAACAGATCAAGAATTTTTCTTTAAGTGCTAGATGAGGTCATGTATAATTAATTAATTTCTTACCTATGGTAAAACAGCTGAACATCTTCTCCAGTGCAGATGAAAGTTCTGGATATGCGGAGTAGTTCTTCAAATCTACCTTCCTTAAATATGGAGCACCATCCATACTGACTTTGATGAACAGCGCACCAGATCCTGCTTTTCCATCTCCTTCTTCAGTATTCTTTGAAGTAGTAGCCAGTGAATTCTTCCTGAATGATCTTATAGGAGGCCAACCCACAACTTGGGCCCTGTGCCACAACACACAAGGATGATTAGAGATCACTTCCATAGCTTAGCCCCGGAGAGGGATCCATGATGACAGATACATGATACAGCACGAGCTACAAAGACTGTTAGTATTGGTGCCTCATGGCCCAAAATTAATTTTTGTTCCTACTTTCTGCTTACTTGGTAGCTGGTGCATTGCTATTGTTATTGGCAGAACCTTCGAGGTTTGCTCTAGTTTCCTTGACAGAATGAGGCCTCTCAAGTTTTGCCTTTGTTGGTGTTACTTCTTTGGCTTTGGCTTGAGCCCCGAGATTCTCAAGCACACCACTAGTTTTCAATCCCATGTTATGAGAAGGCCTGGGGGACAGTACATTATTGGCCTCTGAATCAGCAAGAAATTTTGCCTGCATATAGATTCACCGGGGGCTTTTAGTGCGAGGCCCAGCATTTAACAAACACGCATCCTTAAATTAAACCAGTATTTACCTCTGAGAAACCATTCATGGCATCTGAGAACCCTCTCTTGCTGCCCAAAACAGCAGTCTTTGTTGAAGAGTGGTGATCATCAGTCAATGGGCGCAATGGAAACAAGGGTTTCTCATTCAGCTGAGCTGAGCTTCTCAAGCAGAGATCTGAGTCCCGGTCAGGAGACTGAGATCCTGGAAGGCCAAGCCTCAGCTCTGTGGCTTTTAGGTTTAGGTTACTTTTAGTCTCATCTGAGAAGGACAGGACTGAGCTGTCCACAGAAGAAGAATCAGATAATCCCATATAGTTGCGTTCTTTTAACTCTGTGGCATTGAGGAGTCCATTTTCAGCCGCAGTTGAGGAAACCAGCAAAGTAGCATTGGTTTTACCTTCTTCCTCGCCTATGCCGAGCAGCGGCGCAGACATCACAATTCAAGCGGTAGTCACCCAATTTTGTATGGCCTACCAAACACCACAACATTTGGCATTGTTCAGAAAAAGCAACGAATGTTTCAGTAATTTAATGGTATCCCGCAACCAGAAACTTCCAAGTTTAAAGAAAAGAATACATGGAACAAAAAGAATTAAAATAACAGCCGGCTGCTCCTCAATTTTTCTTATAATCAGTCTCAGTAGCTTGATTCTCAAAATTTCCATGACCTATAGAAGCACCACCTTTGTGCGCAAAATATTTTCTTTTGGAAACAAGCAACAGTCACCGATATAAAATCCCATATGAATACCCAGAGTATACATGTTAGGTTTTTTTTTTTTTTTTTTGGTAGAGTGAATTTATCAGGAGTTACAGGAAAACAACTAAAGGAGAATGACCCGTAGGATAAGTTCCATTAAAGATAAAGAGAGGAAATTATGATTTATGATCCCACTCTTTGTTAAATCGTCCTGGAGCAGCAAAAGACCTTACAGGTAGAAGATTCGCACATATGCTGACAACGGAGTTAAATAGTAGAAACTAGCAAACCCAGAATGATAGTAAGAGATACAGAAATCCAGTGAAGAAGAAGCACCAACCCCTCCAGGCAACCACTATTCTTAGTTTGGTCGATCAGAAAACAAAAAGCTAAGATGAAGAGCAATACCCCTCATCCCAAAAAGAAAGAAAAGGGACCAAATCTCCAAAAAGAATTTTGCAGATAATGAAAAACTTAGTTTGGAATGTTAATCATTTGTTGAGAGTAAAATATGAGGAAATGAAAAATGAAATCACACCAAGTGGCCTGGAAAGCAAAGCAGGAGCGAGGAACAGTAAGGTTTGCAGGAAATAGCAAGAAAATCGGCGGGCAATTGCTTGGTTTGACCAGGAAAAGAAAACAAAACTTGGAAGCAAGACTTGTAAATGAAAGATTGCAACGCTTTACCTGTACAATTAGCAGATCAGAAAGATGAAGAAGAAACGGAAGAAGAGATGAGCGATTGAGTGAGCATACACAGAGAGTAGCTGTGAGAGAGAGAGAGAGAGAAGACGGAGCTAAGGACCCTCCATTTGTCACAACGTAACAAAAGCTTATTTGCTGTCCGATGTGAAGCTCAATGCATTAAAATAAGGGCTTTAATAAAAAAGAAAAAGTGTCTTGAAAAAAATACACCTCCCCTTATATTGCTCTCCTTTTTAATTTTCAATTGCGGCATTTCCTGTGAATTTGTACCAAGTTAGAAATGAACCATTTTGTTCCTTTTATTTGTTTATTTTTTTCGTACTCTGTTAAATAGGAAATATTTTCTAGCATATTATATAAATTTTGAGAAATAAGTAATCCTACTCATAATTTATGAATAATATGATTAGTACTCATAAATTAGTACATTATTATGAGCATATAGTGAGATTTATAGTAAATCAATCCTAAATTAAGAGTACCGTGATCCATTTATCTGAGGGTGACAACGGAAAGGCTCGTCTAATTACGTCAATTACATTTATTGATGTTTGGGCTAAAAGGTATATAAATTGATGTATTAATTCCAAATTTATTGCGTTGCTTTAAGCTTTAATAATAACCGCCGAACAATTGAGGGAACTCGCGCATCAAAGTCTAATCCTGTTTTAGGAATGACGCCACACATTACATATATACAACCACCCATCCCGTATTTATTTATATTTATAGACTACAACCAAACTTTTATAACTAAAACCAGAAGTAGTATATATACACACTTTGCTCCTGTGTTTGATATAGGAGTTATTTTAGAAAGTTAATATTAATCTTATATATAATATATATTTTATATATTCATCATTTTTTTAAATCAGTCCTACTGATATTCTTATTAATATTCTCCCAATAATAATAAAATAGGAGAGGGAGGAATTAAAGAAGATATTTAAGATGTTTTAAAAAAAAATCTCATATTAACTATTTTAACTAATATTCTTAATCTACTCAAATTAGTTAGTTAGGTCTTATATTAAAAACTAGAAAAATATATTGCAGTGAAACAAATGTAACATTTAGTATGAAGCATTAAAAATAAAAGATAAAAATTAAAATTAAAATTTAAAAAAAAATCCATTAAGAGTATTTGGTATATCGGACTAGTTGTCACTTAGGATTAAAAAATACCATGAGAAAATGGTATTCTTTGATCCCACCTATATGGGTTCACTTATTTATGAGTCGTAACCAATTTCCTCATATTAAATATTACTAATGAGTTTTCACAATTTTAATGACGATGTTTTCAACCCTGATAAATATATTGCCTAAAAACAGAAAACCCCATAAATGTCCTTTTCATGAAAACAAAAATGAGCGAAGCCTGTTTGAAAACCAAATGGTTTTAAGCAAATAGCGATAACGATTTAGCCTCGTTATTTTATTTATTTTTCAAATTAAAATTTTAAGAAGCCAGTACAGACAAACAAACAGTGGGTTTCGACTCATCGCACGACGTCTCGGGATATTTCGTGTGTTGGTTGAATTTCCAGGGCAAGAGGTTTTTCTCAGGCAATTCAAGTTCTAATTACAAGAACTAATTAATTAGTTTAAAAAAATTAATAAAAATTAAGTTAGTTATTTGTAATAAATAGATGTTGTCTTTTCTAAAATATTCTTGCTAATTAAGTATATTGGTTAGAATTATTATTGTTAGAAGGACTATCTTGAAAAAAATGTATAAATATGATAGACAAAATAGATTGATGTCTTATATTTAAAATTAAAATAAAAGTTAAACAAAATCTTATATTAAGAACGGGGGGAGTATCAAATAATATGGTTTTTCCGGGAATAATTTGTAATTGTGGTGGAATGTTACTGTTAGAGGATCTGCCCTTCTAAAATATGTGTGGTATGTTTTACTGCTGGGAAAGTCTTTTTTTTTTTTTGGGTTAAAAAATTAGTGTATTTATTTTCTTATTTGACAGAACCATATTGAGGGGTACTGGAGAATCTTTTGACAAGAAATGGGAAGTGCAAAGTGATTACACCCTAAAGTGGAAATATGGCCATGGGCATAGGATATATTTTTGCATGCTTTGTTCCTCTCATATTCCTCCATTATTAGTGTGGGATGATCTGGCAACTACAACAAGGCCCCCACTATTTCTGTTTCTATACACGTGGCGAGTGAATTTATACAAGAAGTCGGAGAATCAATTATACTTATTAATACTTCCTCCGCTACTAATTATAAGAATTAGTTGACTAATTTAAAAATATTAAATAATAAATTAAGTTAGTTATTTGTAATAAATATGTATTGTCTTTTCTAAAATATCCCTGCTAATCAAGTTTATTGGCTAGAACTACCATTATTAGAGGAACTATCTTGGGAAAGAATATATAAATATGAGAGATAAAATGGATTGTGGTCTTGTAATTAGGACCAAAATAAAAGTCAAACAATGTCTTATATTAAAGACCCGAGGTAGTAGTTTGCTTAAAAAATATATTATCCCTTATCCTTAATATAAAAACTAATTAATTAATTTGAATACATTAAGAAAATTTGTTGAGTTGATTATTTATAATAAACAGATACTTTTTTCTTAAATACTATTGATAATCAAGTGTATTGGCTTCAATATTTGATAAAACATTTAAATATATGTAACTACTATAAAAATTAGTTTTTAAAAATAAAAAATATTAGAAACAAGTGAATTAAAATGTTATATTTAAGACTAAACTAAAAATTAAAATAGTTCTATTATTAAAAATAAGAAGTAGTATTTATCCATAGAAGGCAAGCCGATAAGCGGGCATGAAAGTTATTGAGAAAACTGGAAGAAAATTCCCCTTGAAAGTTTTTATCGACTAGAAGAACATGATAGACTTTTATATACAAAAGAATATTAATATATATGTTGCAAATTTTATATACACTTGGAATTAATAATCTGATTTGGACTATCCTCGTTAATAAAATTCCTAATAAGGAATTGTTTCCCTAATTCTTCTACAAATATATTAAGATGAGGTTAGATTTAAATATGTGATGCATTACGGTAAATTTCGAAGAGGAGCCTTTGACCCCCAAAAAAAAAAAAAGTAAGAGGAGCCAATTGAGGATTGTGTAAATTAATTGGCACTTTTACCCCTAGCATCACCTCCTCACGGCCTGTTTCACCATGCGGCCTTCAATGGAGCATATCATCATGACAACAACAGCAACGGTTATAATTTCGCATGCAAACACATTAATTAGCTTATTCCAAACATGACCCTTTACTTTTTAAATTCTCATTTTTAAGCAGAGTATATGCTTAGGATGCATACGTGTGCATTGGTGTGTATACACACACTGACACACTGATACTCATTCTCTGCTTACATAACTGGGAAATTAGATTTGGAACGTTTGAGTGGAATCCGAATAAAAATAATTTTACAGGAAATAAATATACAAGAAATATTTTATATTGATTTACGTAAAAATACTTTTTAAATCCCAGAACCCCCTTAAAAAGTATTTAAGAAAAATGCTTTTATATAAGTTCATGTACTTACATCACACAACACAAAATTACTTTTAAAAAGCTAATCCAATGTCCCAGTCAAGCTGGGCTTTGAGTTCTGTAAAACATGCCCAGTGAATGTCATGATGCGCTGTCAATTTATTATATGATGTTTGTTCATTTATGATTTATTTATTGCATTTTATTGTTTTATTTGCGATTAGCTTTAATTATAGTGTGACTTTTTATTTGATCGCAGGGGAAGGTAAAAAACAAAAGAGTGGGATGAAAGAAAAATATACCGTGCTTAGCCACATATGGAAATATGACAGTAATTTCAACCACCACACTCATTACTGCACCTTTTATCTGTTTATCTTTTTTTCAAAAGTGGCAAGATTCCTTCTTCAACATTATACACACAACCCTTATTTAATTCCGCAAATGCCCCCACCCCTTCACATGCATGGCTCCCCCCTCTTATACTTTCACGTCATTAGACCCCGCGTCATTTTCCCCCTCCCGGGACAAATAAGGAAATCCATATATTCCATCCATCCACAACTTCTCCAACCCCTTTTGGAGGTGTTTGGACAAGAATAAAACTATAATTTCAGAAATTTTTTACAATATACGAAGTAAATATATGAAAGAGTTTCTTTCGATTTGTAAAAAAATACTTTTAAGAAACATTTATAGGATTAGCCAAACACCTTTTTATTCTCGATCCTTTGCCCAGCACAGCGTAGCAAAGCTGAGGATGACCCATCCAAATTGGCCCCAAAAAAACACACACATCATCAATGCTTTTAAAAATTAGTAATAAAAAACTCGTGGGATGTTAAGAAAATTATCTTATATTTCGAGGGGAAAATTAATAAAAAAACAAGTCATTCTGATGTTTTCAACTTTTTAGTACCGTTGAATCTTAAAAATATTTAGGGATCATTTTTTCATAAATATAAAAGGAATAAGCGGGGGCGAGGGATGTATTTATTTTTTTAATTATATAATACTATTTAGTCCTTAATATAAGATCTATTTAACTGATTTGATTAGATTAAAGAAGTTAGGTAAGTTAGTTAATCATAAGAAATATGACATGTTTTTCCTAAAACATTATAATCATTTTTCTTAATATCCTCTCTCTCTCTTCTACTTAATTATGATTAAGAAAGTATCTATAGGGATAATTTTTTTAAAAAAATAAATATATACAATAAAATTTATATTTAAAACTTAAATTAACTTAATAATTAAATTCTATATTAAAAATAAGAAGAATAATGTTTTTTTGAGTAAATCAGAAGAGGAATATTTGGTTAAGGAGTGCAAAATAGGGTGGGGGGAAGTGGGTAGAGGGGGGCAGAGAAAAACAAGGGAAAGAGAGACGACGCGTTGGGGGACAAGAAAGCGGCTTTTAATTTTGACTTGCCGGGTTCAGAACGCGACACCTGACATCCTTCACTTACTCTCACACATCCCCTCCACGCTCTCCTCCTCGCGCGTCACTCTCACCGCTCAATCACCTCTCTCCCAACTGCCTTTTCTCCTCTGCGGTTAGGAC